GAATGCCTGTCTCACTATGAAACACTTGCTCTGTGTAAAGGGAAGAGATGGGGAGACCGGTTGAACTGTTAGAGCAGGTTGAGCCACTAGCGGCCTTCCTACTGTATTATCTGGGTTTCAACCGTATCTCTACTAAACTAACAAGCTCAAAGTAACATAAATACCACTAGTTCAAGTTGTTCATGGACAACAAGCAGGCAAATTGGAGTTAGCTTTTCAGTAGACTGATTGTTTTATATTTGAATATCATTTTTATGCAATGGAAGTGAATCATTAGTAAACTAACAGCTTAAGCAAAACCAGAACAAGAACATGTTCTGAAACTGCTTTGAAGTAGCCACCTTATTTTTGCAGAAACGAGACAAAAAAAAGTCCTTAAAATTTCTCATCATAGACAGTCTTTTTTTCCCCCATTATTCTCACCATTTAATCATGCTATCTTAATTCCAAAACAAAATTCAATTACTATACTGTGAAGAGCAGTCTGTTGATGTGTGTTACAACTGTAAGAAACAGCATTACAGAGAACTTGCCCATGTACCACAAACTGGTATGCATTTGAATACTGATTAATCTGCTGAAGACGGTACTTTTAAACTGCTTTTCCAGACATCAAGCAATTTCTGTTGCTGCCCACATGCACCTGTCTTGTTATTTTTAATTCTCTTTACAATGTATGAGCAAACTTTTACTAGTTATGACAACAAATACCTGAGGGACTGCTAGATCTGTTATTTGGTAATCCCCAGATGAAGGATAGATTGGAATTAGCGCTTTGGAATTCAGACCAGAAGTATGCTCTTCTCATATACCTAAACAGATGACTATTTTGTTCCCAGCCAAAGCTGCTGTAGAATAAACAATTTGAATGCATTTCAGGGGTGAATTAGTTTATGATAGAGGAAAACAATGATAATCCCAACGTGACACAGCACAGAGAAAACAAATTTATTATTGCAGATCTGAATAGTTACTTTTTACTGCTTTTAGTGACATTGTCTCATGAAAAGTAGACTGCTTTGGGTTACTTCGTGTGAGGAGAGATTAACAGCAGTCTTAAATCAGCTGAAAAAATTAGAGAATTCTAGACAAAGGGTGTAGCAATTGCATACTGTTAAAATCAGAAAATTTCAGAATGCATGTAGCACCAACAATCCAAAACTATTTCTGCAAGTCTCTTTCTAAAAGAGAGTCAGTATCAAATAGCATAGGTTTACTGAAAGCTTATGAAAAAGAAGTTTGCAAAAAACCTGATAATTTAACATTAGTTAATAATAGGTAGCACCGCCTTAAACAAACCCGGAGAACGTGACTGCTTGAAAAGTAACTCCTTACCCAGCATCACATCTTACATTTATTTTGCACAGATTACCTTGCAAAATAAACTTCTGTATTATGCACGCCTTTGCAGAGCAATCTTTTATAAAATTATCTTGTAGAGATAAATGAAATGAATGATTAGACCAGCATGACATGGACAAAGCCATTCCCAAAATAAACTATTTTATCAAAGTGAAGCAGTTGCGCAAACTTACAGGAACTAGTTTCCAAAACCATTTGGTAGGAGACTTCAGAGGAAGCAGTAGGAAAAAAGAATAAAAGCAAATTCAAAGAAAAAAAAAGGAACAATTTATCAGATATCATAAATTACTTTTACAAAGCAATTTTATTTAACATTCTCAGTTTTGTATAACAGTGAATTGTAATTTAATGGTAAGCATTAGTGCACTGTAACCTCTGCGTATTGAACTAATGAGCAGAAATAACACTGGAGAAATACGTCTGCAGCCTTTGTACATTAATATTATCATTTCCCCACATGAACAGGTAGGATGGTCAGATCAATGCAGTTTTAAAGCTTTCACACATCTAATTGTACCCTACATATGCAATCCAACTGAAGAATTCATTCGAGACTTGAAGACATGACATCCCAAGTATCAAAATGAATTCCAGCAGCACACACGGGGAAGCAGGGAAGCAAGCGCAATGGAAAAAGGGATAAACACACCGTAGTACAGTACAACCCACTGCAGTGAAGTAGTGAAGTTTGCATTAGTTACTTCAAGCCAAACAGTCATTTTTATAACATTTAACAAGATGTTTAAACAATCATACGACAGGTTTCCGAACAACAAGAAGTGCAGGCAGTTATATTTTTGCAATGACAAATCACATTAGCATCAGCTGCATGATGTGCAATGACCTGAAATGTAGATGGAGTTTTAGCTACCAGCAGAGAAATGATCAGAACTGATACATACAATTCTAAACTCATATGTGATCAAAAAGTACCAAAAAAATAATGAAGAAAAACTTTAAAATGTAAAATTTGACTTAAAAGCTTAATCCTAAGCACACTGAACTCAGCAAATTTTTCTGTAACTCTACACTCTAGTCTGGC